GATATTCTACAGTCATGACAGCACTTAGCCAAAGGTGACCCCTAATAGATATTCACGTCACCACTCTCATCAAAGGGTACGCGTCATCCACAAGGAGTGGTCCTCTTACGACTTTCCATACCAGATAGGGGAGGGGAAAAATAGATACCCTGGATGGGGATAGGAAAACAGATACCTCTCAAAGATAAAAAGCCTAACGAGACAATAAATGTATTATGCATGTCAATACAGATACATACTTCAAAAAATTCATGATTCATTTCACTTTTCTTTTCTTTCTTTTTTTGTTTATTATTTTTTAAATAACTTTATCAGTTTCATATTATTTTATTTACATGCAAATCATCAAGTATCTATAAATCACAGAGCATGCTTGAAATCAAGAACAATTCAATTTATTAAATCCACTAGACATGGAACATGCAAATAAGCAAAACCATAGAATCATTAATTTAATTTTGTCTAAAAATACTCGTTAAGACATTTAAAGAAATACTAAATTCCTTATCGAAACCTTGATAATTTCTCTTACATTGTTCTCCTTCTCCTCATCTCTTTCTCTCTCTAGATCACTCTCTTTCTCCCTCTCTCTAACTCTTGAAAGGTGGAAGAATGGAAATGAGGAGAAAATGGGAGAAAAGGCCCCTATTTATCGAAATGGGAGTTGTTGAGTTTGCGCCAAGTGGCAAAATCTGGTGAAGAGAGAGTGTGTTGAAAATGGAAAATTCTTGATTTGACACAACATGAAAAATAGAAGAAAAAAACCTCCTCCACCGACAGCGACATCCAAGCGAGGGCACGTCGCTCAAGATAGGCAGTGGCACACTGCCAAAGGCGACAGTGGCCTCACTCGCCCGACATGTGCTGCAGGCCTAGCCTACTGGCGCCGAGCTACCATGTCATGCATAGGAGCTGGCCTGCGTGCGCATAGGGCCTTGGTGCGCTGGTGCACTGCGTGCAGGCCTACTATGCAGACGGCGCTTGTGCAGTGTGCGACGCTTGCTTGTCCGCGCACGCAGGTCTGACCGTCGCGCTGTGAGCAGATGGGATGTGAGCACTGTGTGCACGTCCTGTGCCTGTCGCACGCGCACGAGCATGCACAACGCACGGTAGCCCGCGTGGGTAGCCCATTCCTGTGGGATGTTTCTTATGGGATTTTCCCCCGTTTTTCTATTTTTCTTGAAACTCATTATTTTTTAAAAAAATAATGATTAAATAATTAAATCAAAATAAAAAAAAGATTGACATAATTTACGAATTACGATAATATGCTGTGGAATAAAATAAATGAGTTCTATGTGGTCTTAAGGCCCCAATAAATAGGGTTTTCCAAATATAATTAAGCACAGTGGTGAGCAGGTTGTTACATAACCCCTAGTAAATATTTACATCACTACTCTCGTTAGAGGGTACGCCATCATCCATAGAGAGCGATCCTCTCACGTCTTTTCAGACCAGATGGGGGAGGGAGAAACAGATACCCTTCAGAGATAAAAAGCCTAACGAGACACTTGATGCATTATGCATGTCAATACAGATACATACTTCGAACCTTTCAGGCTTTATTCCATTTTTCTTTTCTTCTTTTTATATATTTATTTTTCAGGTAACCTTACTGATTTCATATTATTTTATTTACATGCAAATCATCAAGTGCCTATAAATCACATAACATGCTTCAAATCAAGAACAATTCACTTTATTAACAACTACTAGATATCGAACATGTAGATCACACAAAATCAACTATTCATTACTTTAATTTTCTAAAAATACTCCTTAAGATATTTAAAGAAATACTAAATTTCTTACTAAAATCTCGAAATTTTTCCTACATCGTTGTTCTCCTCCTCTTTTTCTCTCTCTATATCACTCCTTCGCTCTCTCTCTAACTCTTGGAAGGTGGAAGAATGGAAGTAATGAGAAAATTAGAGGAAATACCCTTATTTATAGATAATGGGGGCTGTCAGATTTGTGTCAAGTGACAAAATCCAGTGAAGAGAGAGAGTGTGTAAAAATGGGAAGATGCTTGATTTGACATGGCATAAAAAAAGTGAGGAACTGCAGGCTGACCTACCCTTGGAAGTCTATGAGGATCCTGTGGATCCACAAATATGAGTGCATGACTGTTCTTGCACTCTGATGAGTCCAATAGCATAGTGAAAGAAGTGACAGTTATATTTTGTATTTTATAGTCACTTCTGGCCTCAGTATATGTATATATTGGAACTTATATATATTTGTAAGGAATTTGTAATGATTTTGTTCTGCTGCATAAATTTTATCATGCACTCGTTATTTTGAATATGTTTCTGACACCTAATTACCTTAATTAGCACTTGGGATGTCACAGCTGGAGGGGGAGATTGTTGGGTTTTGTCTAGCCCATGTTGAAATTAATAATGAAAGAGAAAAAAAAAATCTTCTCTCTCCCATGTATGTATATATATATATGCAAAAATTAGAAAAAAAAAGTGGCGCACGGTGTGCGGTGCCTATTCGCGTGCGAGGTGACGCGCAGACAGCTTGCCTGTGCGTGGATGGGACGTGCGTGCATGCGTGCGGATGGGACGTGCGTGTTGTGCACAAAGTGCCTAGCACCCGCGAGGGCAACCAGCCTTTTTGTGGGATTTTCTTCTCGATTCGGTGTTCTTCGATTTTTTCTAAATTTTTATTTTTAATTTAATTTAGTTATATTAAAATTATTTAAAATAAAATTGTTTAAATTAAAATTTAAATAAAATTAAATAAATAAAAATCAACCAAAATTACGAATTACGATAAATGTTAAACAGCGTAAATTAATTAAGTTCAGAGCGGCCAAAAACTCGAATAAATAGAGTTTCTAAATCATTTTAGTAAAGTAATTGGCGGGCAGTTACACTCTCTCACAAAAATCTAAAAAAAAAAAGTCAAAAATTGGTTATTTCTCACTCTCACGCACGCATATCGAGAAGGGGAGAAAGGCTTTGTTTTTAGAAGAAGGAAAAGAAAAGCAAAATAGTTTCAAATTTTGTTCCTGTCTAGGCACGGTAATAACATCCCACATGTAGAAAACAAAATTTTAAACCAAATAGGAAAGCAATTAATTAATAAATCAAAATTTTCTTTTCTAAAAATTAAAATGGGAAATGGGAAGGGAGAAATGCGAGTGCGTTCCTGCAGGGCACTGAATTGACACCACCAAGCTGGAAGCTTGTGGTGGAGTTCTAACCATCTAGCACTGGAGACTGACCTCTGCTAGCTGTCGCTGCCTACCTCTTTCCTTCAGCTGCTGCTGGCCACTTTGATGCATTAAGGGCCCCAATTTCTAGCATGCAATCGGCAGCCTTGATCCTTCGTCGGAGATACTTTAAAAGCCACTTAATTTGTCATTCTTCTTCTTTATTTCTTCCATTGAAGCTTTCTGTAAATAGAGAGAAAAGAAGTGAACGAGAGAGAAGAAAAGATAGCAGACCTAAGAGGAAGTGAAGCAGGCTTGCTTGGTATGGCGTCTTCATCCTCTCACTGTTTCTCTAATCGTTTCCTAGACTAGAGAACGTTAAAAATTACGAAATTTCGTGAGTGTTTAGGCTTATATCTTAGCTAAATTCCAGAAAAAATAGATGACTAAAAGCTCTCTCCGTGAAGGAGATATCCAAGGACAAACACCAGTAGCTCAGGTATGTATGGCGTGACCTCTATTTTAATTTTATCCATTTCGTTTGCAAATTAAGGGTTCATAGAAAATTCTGAAATTTTGTGGAGTTATAGAGACAACATCTAACGAAGATTTAGAATCAAGAATTAGGTCAAATGGATTATCCTTGAAGGAGAAACAATTCCCCAACCACCGAGTGGTCTTGCATGCAACTCTGGTGAGTAGAGTGTTCCCTAATACTTCGGTTTTTTGCTTATTTGAACACCCAAATGTTTTCTAAAAGTTATTAAATTTTACAAACTAATAGCCCTATTTGTTAGGAAACTTTTACATATTATTCGAGCTCAAACCTTCTATCTTGAGAGAGAAACAAAGGAAAAACTACTAGACACGCGGGCTGTTTCTGGACAAAAACTGTGAGTGACCAATTCGTGTGTTCATAGCAATTCCTTCGTGCGTTTTGACTTCTAATTAGTGCGTTTTTGAGGTAAGAGGGATAGTAATCTAATTATTACATATATTGAATTTTATAAATGCATCTAGATGATTATTTAAACATGTAAATTTGAAATGCTTGTTGTTTTCCGAAAATGAATCTATGTATATTGTTGAAGCATTTAAATAATTTAAATTGATGTTTTAATCTTAATGTATTGTTGTTTAAATAATTTAAATGCTGCTCGAAGGCCCACAGCCTTCTGTTGAGCAGCCCAAGTGCGGAAGTACCGGCAAAGTGGGTCTGACCGCAGGTGCGGAAAAATATTCTCCTTCCACGGGTTGAGGGAAAAATCCCCCATTCGATGAGTTTCTAAAAAATCTGAATTTAGGTAAATAATTGGATTTATTTTAAAATAGAATTTAGAAATAAAGATATAAAGTTGGAAGATGAAAAATGAGGAAAAATATGGAAAATTGTATGTGGGGTTTTATCTATAAAAATTGTAAACTGGAATTAGGGATTTAATTGGGATTTTTGGGTTTTAATTTAAGTCTAAGTTAGTGTTATTTCATTGAAAGAAAATAAATAATTAAGAGTTTAAGACTTAATTAACGCAGCAGTCCAGTTAAATCTGTTGTATTTGATATCCTAAGGGTATTGTTTGTCTTAGGAGCCAATTGCTCGGCAGTGAATGGTAGATCTGTTTGTTCAAGGTCCTTCAGGAACTGAATGCAGTTCATACCCTCCGCCAGGGGTATGGGCTACGGTGATCCGAGTGAATTTTGAGTGGTTTATCTGCACGCCAATTTTATGTTATCTGCATCTACACTCGTTCACATAGTAGTTTGGTTGTCCCATATCTGGTTCCCAGGGAATACATGGTAGTGGTTGCGCGCATAGGTACGACAACAATTAAACTAAATGAAAGAATGTTCAGCAGTGTAAATAACTTAAAAAGAAGAGTTAGTCTGTGTGCATGTGTTTGTATTTGCTTGTTATTGAGATTTAGCCCTTTGAGGGACAGCCATATGATTTAGTGAGGGACATCAACAATGACTTCTCAATGGATATTGGTATCAGGTACCTGTGAGTTGATTGCATTAATATGACTATTTGTTGTTGTCTATAATCTGATAAAAGAATTTTATAAATTGCATATAATTATGTTTTCAAACGTATTTGTGAGGTTTTAATATTATTTCTCTTACTGAGTCCACTGGAGCTCATCCCCTTTCAAACTCTTCTATTGATCTGATAGGTTTACCAATGGATCCATGTCTAGACTTCTTTAAAGAGACCTAGTAGCTAGAGAGGGATTCTTGGAAGTTGTCTTAAGATCTTTTGTATTTTATATTTCAGAGAGGTTGTAAATAGATAGATTATCAAACCCTCTATATTTTTGTTGATAATCATATGCCTCTGTTGGTGTTTTTTAGTAACTTTTTGTATGGGATGTATGTCTTCACTGTACTCTAGATAGATTATTATTTGCTTTTCGGATGTGGGTGTTAAGCTAATACCACGGCATCACACACCGGTACAAGGAAAGCAGAAAAGGAAGGGCTTGTTTGTTTACATGCATAGAAATCAAGATAATGAATATTTTTTTGACAAAGTTTGGTAATTTTCTTTGGTATTTTTTAATCATTTTTTGAAGGATTATTCTCTAATTTTTTGGTGTGATCATTTAAGAAGAATTGAGTTTGGTTAAGGAAGAATTTATGTATTTTCTCTAAAATATGGTGTATTTCATGTCTGTGATAATGGATTTGTGTCTCGTAATTTTTGTGATTGGTTCTTTGTTTGTATCAGTATTGATTTTCAAATTAATTGGTTTAGAATTATAAATTAGAATTTGTGGAATAATTTTGATGATTGCTTTAATTTACACAAGTAAGATGAGAATATTTAGAATACTCAATAAAAAGTCATCAAGAAACGACACAACAACAAAAGAAAAGAATAGATGAACGAGCACATTATAAAATATAAGAGCATCCACCAATTGTAGTAACAACACAAAAATCTAGAAACAACATGAATCGAAATGCAGTGATAATGATTTTTCAATAATGGTATCTATAACTATTTCGTATGTGCCGAAATTCTATATATAGTTATTACAAATGGCGTGCTACTATTCTTTTATGATCATAGAAAATCTTTATAAAAATAAATAAATAAATTAAATAAATAATAAAAATTTATAAATAACATATTCATTTACTTTTTTAGTGAGTACCTGTATATGTAATATACGTGTCAATAGAATTATGTATATGGATAAAATAGCAGTTATAGCATAAAATATTTAATTAAGTTGATTTTTCATTTGTAGTTAGATATTTATAAAATTTATAACAAAAATGTATAAGTAAAATCAGGGTATTGACCCTTAATTACCTTATAAGGACATGATTGGAATAGTGTTTTCTAATATATGAGAAAAACATCACAAAATCATTTAAAAAAAATAATGCAAACTTATTTTGTGCATTTAGATTGCAAAATTACGTAGAGTATTGAGTAGTAAAGATAAAAAAAATAAGAGAATCACAACAAATCATACAACAAACAACGTACATAACATGATTGAAAGGCTACCTTTGAGTCACTATCACATGGCTAACCTAGATTCTTTTTTCTAGACCTTTTTTAAGAAAAACAAATTTATATTCATCGTAGCAAATACAATATCAAAAATTCATAATCTAAGTAGTGTTTTTTCTAGAACTCTTTTGTGTTTACCTTTTAGAGGAAGAGAAAATAAAGTTGAATTACATATGATATCTAACTCTAACTGAGGACCCACATGTATGTACATATCTCACCAATTCAAATTATATCCATCTATTAAAATTTTCATAAATTTAGATTTGCTTACTATATATATTTGATGCAAATTATGTTATTGTCAAGAAAATTCACGAGGTCATAATGGTTATTTTAGACCCAGAAAAAATATTAATTTTGTACTTAATTATTATGTTTTAGCATATTATATCCCATGTATAGCAAAATTTAAAATTTTAAAAAAAGAATTGGTGATATGTAACTAAAAAGAGAGAGAAAATGGCCAAGGTTTGCTTATCCCTCAAACGTTTCATAAGTTTTGTTTTATACTAGCTACCGAAATTTTTTTTTTTATATACATTTTATTTCGTTAGTTTATAGCCTAGCAAAATCAGACTTCGAGTTTCATTTACGAAACTCAGAAGACTATTTAAAAATTTAGAAATAATTTCAAAAGGAGATTTAAAAAAATTAAGTCCCACAATCCACAAAAATAATTTAAATTAAGAAATAATAATAATAGTAAATTAATAAATTAAATTATGAATAAATTATAAAATTAATTAAAGAATATTACATAATGTAAATTAATAAAAGAAAATAATTAAAATAAATATTGGGATAATTAAAAATAACATTTAAGCCCAAAAATAAATTAAATAGGAATCTAGGAACTTACACGCGAAAAATCGGAGGTCATTTGGGCTCAAAACAGGAATCCGATGACCTAAATGAATAATAATTCAGAAAATTGGGACTTTTTGCAATTCTGAAAAGTTCAGCCATGTCACCTGGTGACGTGGCAATGTGGCCAACAACCTCATGTCGTGTGGCAGACATATGGGCAAGCCTGTGCACGCGTGGTCGCCCTTGTGCCAATCCGCGTGATGTAGATCCAACGGTCTACATGTGTGATGAAGGGTTTGATCGTGTGGTCGAGATCCTTCCCTTTTGTGTTTTTAGTGAACAACCATGATCGTGTCTGGGAAGCTAATCCGACAGTTAGGAAACCACCTCACGCGGATTGCGATCCAACGATCTCCATGTGTAATGACTGTGCAACTAGATTTCTGATTTTGATATCATCTCATATAATGTATACTATTAGATGATACATCAAAACACCCAAATCAAGATAGTTCGTAAAGTTTCAGGAGCATAGTCGTGCAAAGTCGAGCTCATGACATGTTCTTTTTTTCCTTTTAGACAATTCCAAACTTTTTCCTCAATCCTAGTAGTTTAAAGGTTTTATGATTAAATATAAATATATCTACTTCACTATGTAATACCACACCATATTAGATAATTAAATATTTATCACAATAAAGTTTGTATATGATCATTTATCTAAGTTGGATAACTTATTATATTGATGTAGATATAAATATATGTGTACATATAGCTTAAATCTTTTCCTTAATGTATAAAAACTTTGTTATGAATGATCAAACTATTTGTTTCCTATTTCTATGTGTATATATACAACTAGCTGTTTGTATTTAGCTTATTTTGTGCGACTCTCTTCTCCTCATATATATATATTGGTGGTGTTGTAAAATTGATTATAAAAATTGATTACTATGTGTAAATCTACGAAGTATTTTCTTCCAGATCTTTTTTGTCTACCTTTTGAGGGAGAGAAAAAATTAAATTCACATATGATATGTATATATCTCACCAATTCAAATTATATCCATCTATTGACTATTCTCCATTAATTAAGATTCATTACCATATATATTTGATGCAATTTTTCTAAATTGTCAAGAAAATTCACTAGGTCATAATGGTCATTTTAGACTTAGAAAAAGTATTAATTTTATATTTATTTATTATGTTTTAGCATATTATATCCCATGTATAGAAAAATTTAAAATTTAAAATAATTGGTGGCCTGTAATTAAAGAGAAAGAGAAAATGAGACGAAAAAAGAAAATTGTCAAGGTTTTAGGAAATGACAAAATTAAGTTAGATAAGGTTTACTTACCCCTCAAACATTTCATAAGTTTTGTTTATTACTAACAACCATAAAAATTATTTTCTATACATATGTTATTTCATTTAGTCCATTTTTTAGCACTAGAAATTTATTCAAAAATTCTTTTCCTATTGAAATTAAATCTTTAAAAATTATTTTTTTCTTTGTTTTTGTTATTAAGGTTCTTTTTTCCTTTTCTCAACACTCCAATTTTGAGATAGTGTTTTCTTTTTCCTTCTTTCTTATGTTTGGGCTACATCAAATACAATTTGTTTTAGTTTAAGAAGGAAAACAGTGAGCTATAAACTAGAAGTAACTCCCACGAAAAAGTAAGCAATGTGCGACATAGAAAATATCAATAGCTAAGATTCATCTTTCACTATGAAAATCTATGGAGGCAAACATGTATAAAATGATACGTGGTTTTTCCCCTTCTTCCCCACCTAACACAGTCCATTTCCAAACCCTCGAGTCTCCATCACTGATATGATTTCCCAATCAAGTGAATTTATGAGAGTGACTCAATTATGCCTATAGTACTACTGATACTTTTGTGGGTTAACGCTATAAAGGACAA